TCCGTGGATGATCTTAGTCCCTGGCCTTTCGTCTATGTCTGAGGCCAGGGCATTCACACCCCTGATGAATGTTTCAGAGTCTTCGGTTGCAGTCCGAGTCAGGTCCGAGTCAGTCCAAGGTATCTCAAGTCTTCCGCTTGCATTTGTATTAACTCTGTATTTTCTGGTCGGTTCTGGGAATCTGCGCCATACTTATGACTGTGTTTCACGAGTATGCAACAGTTTGGTATAGGAGCAGACCAGCATTGGATGACTCACCATTAATTGATTGATTGGTTGATTGATTGGTTGATTGATTGATTGATTGATTATCTACACCTGCACTCTGTTATCATTAAATCGCAAGTTGCAATTTTTTTCTTTTCTTTTCTTTTCTTGATTGATTGATTGATAGGTCGTTAAAATTATAATTTTAGGTTTGCGACTTTTCTCCATATCGCGCAATTAGGGAAATCGCTAATTACAAGCAACCTAATTAGCGCTAATTAGGGTTAGTCCTAACCTAATCTAAACGGCCTATCTAACCTATGCGAAGTAAGTGCCAGCCAGGCACCACGCCGGTTAAGGCAGATCGGGCCTGAGCACGGCCATATTCAAACTGCAACTTCACGGAACTTGCACTTTTTGCAAACTGCATCTTTTTGTGTTTGAAAGGTTGAATCTTTCCAGCAACTTGTGTATCTTCCTGCTACCATTCATCTTCTACTTAGTGAGTGACCTCGTGCTGATGCTAAATTCTTCCGATGAAAATTTCATGAAATTATTGAAATTATGTTTAAATGTTTAAACTTGCTTAAACTTTATTCATTGTTATTTGTGCAAATTTAAATATTCTTTAATTAAAGATTAAATATTTTGCCCGAAATTTAATTCGTATTTTTCGATTAAATTTTATTTAATTTCTCGAAATTCAAAATTTCGTCGGGCGGGGGGGGGGGGAGGATTTTTTYTCTTTGATTAGTGTCGGACTTCGAGGTCAGGGGAGAAAGGGACTGTCTGTGCATCGTTTGCCTCTCTGCCCTTCCTCCACACCCTAGCTTCTCTCTTCTCCTCTCGGTATATGGTTGCCAGCATCCGGACACGTCAGCAGAGTGCCACCTCAGCAGTGACACGTCAGCAGAGTGCCACCTCAGCAGTGACACGTCAGCAGAGTGCCACCTCAGCAGTGACACGTCAGCAGAGTGCCACCTCAACTGTGCCACATCAGCAGGTGCCATCGCAGCAGTGACACATCAGCAGCAGACGTAGGCCAGAGTACTTGATGTGCCGCAGCCAACGACTGGCCGAGCGCGGATCCGCAGGAGCCAAGCCTCAACAGGGACCTCGGACCCCTCGGATCCCATGCAGGCCACGCACGACCATGGCTGCTACCGCTGACAACAGTGCACACGCCAGCCCCAAGAGGCCGGTGACCCCTCCTATCCCAGTTCAGCAGGCCGATGAACTACTTCTAGTGTTCCTCGAACGCCTCCAGCAGTATTCGGAGACGACAGCAGCTGAACTGCGCAAGTGGGAAGAGGAGGAAGGCGCCCGCCAGCAGGAGATTCAACGCCAGCTGGCAGAGGCCGGGGCAGCACGTCAGCAGGCCGCAGCAGAAGCTGCAGCAGCCGCACGGTTGCAACAGCAGCAGGTCGAGGCAAGTCAAAACCAAGCTCGTTACCAAGCCACGATGGATCTTGCTCGCGACGAAGCCACGTACGCCAGGCTACTTCGACGACAGCATTTCCAAGAGACCAAAGAACAAGAAGAGCCAACTGAGGAAGAAAGGGACAAGGAAGGGACAGCAGTTCTGATGGAGAATCTGCTGTACACGTGCAATTGGCAGCAACGTGAACTGCTCGCCATGCGGCAGGTCTTCATCCGCCATGAAACTGCGTTCAAGGCATTGGACAAGAAGATCCTGACCCTGCAGGTCGAGATCAGCACACTACACGCCGCCAACAGCCAGCAGCAGACACTCAACAGCCAGCAGCAGAAACTCAACGACCAGTTGCAAACAGATGTCAGCATGGGGTTGGCACAACTGTCAGCAGCTGCGTCAACGGGCAGTGCAGCGGTAGACTGCAGCCCAGCTTCGGCCGCACAGGCCAAGCAACTCGAAGAGCGGATCAACCACTTGGTCGCATCCCTCGGCGACATCAGCAAGTTTGCTGGAGCATCGACAGTCAGCAATCAGCTGCAGACGCTCAGCGACCGCGTTGACCAACGACCGGTCGCTGCCGCCAAGGAATGGAAGATGCCGAACTTCAAAATCGAGAAGTTCGACGACTATCACAAGACTGATCCGCTGCAATGGTGGATGGCTTTCAACGCAGAGGCGGATGTACATCACACACCGGCCCATCGGCAGCTTGATGCACTCTACCTCCAACTCATCGGAGGGGCGCAGGCTTTCATGACACACATGCCCGTCACGATGGAATGCACCATCGCCAACCTCCACATGAAGATTACGTGGGAGGAATTCGAGACGAAATGGAAGACCCGATTCATGGTCAACAACGACAAACGGCACGCCATGAACAAGGCTTCAACATATACCAAGGCCAGCAGACATCACGGGAGTGGCTGACGGAGTGGCAAAGACTCGTCGCCACCCCGGAGTTGAACTTACCATTCGACGCAATCCGGGCCGAATTCTTTGCCCGGTCATGCGACGCCTTGACTGCTGCCTTGGGCACCGAGTTTCAGTATGAGACCTTTGATGATCTGAACTCAAAGGCAAGAGAACTCATCCAAGGTAACCGGCGTGCGGCCAACGAGACCCGCCAACAGCCCGGTTACGTGGAGAAAGGCACGGGACAACGGACGCCGCAAGTAGCAGCAGTCCAGCAAGTACATCAAGTGACGGAGATGTGGCGGCAGCGATACCACCGCAACGCTCAAGACCCCGAGGGGGAAAACAAAAAGTGAAACCAGCGTCAACGGATGGAGCAGTCTGAGTACCCATGTACGGAAAATGTCAAGTTTTGGCCTCTAGTGAATATTCAGGCCCACCTTCACTTAGGGCGGGCATTGGGCATGCTGAGGGCCTCTGCCCAGAACATGTGCATGTCTGATAACGGCCCTGTGAGGGCTCATTCCTCGCATTCCATCCCGCTTAGCTTCGAAAGTCCGATGAGATGCTTCATGCTGGTGTTTTCCCCATCAATTTTCTTTCGTATTGGAGATGTCTTGACAAGTTCCTCTCTTATGAACCATCGATCTTCCTTAGGATCCGTGTGATGCCTGAACCGTACCATGTACTCTCTCATAGGTTTAGGCGGTCTTCCTCGGCCAGTTGGCTTGGGAACAGGCATGTCTCTGTGTTCCAAGATATCGTCGACATCCACGTGACCATCCATGGTTAGGGCCAGCATTGATCTCCTCGATGAGAATTGTTGTGTCTCTGCGAAAGGTGCAAGCTTTGAGGCGTAAAACATAGGGTAAGTGCGTAGGTGACCAGGGATTCGAATCACGTACGAGGGACCATCCAAATCACTACCCACAATGGCTAAGACTTCCCAGGGACCGAAATACTGAGGCATTAGTTTTCTAGAGATGTCGAACTCCTGTCCCAACTCACTAGCCTTGACCCAGACATGTTCCCGTACATGAAATGTGGACTGTCAGCGATGCTTGTTCTCAGAAGCAATCATTGTTTGAGATTTCTTGATGTGTTCGACAATCTGCTGCAACAACTTCTCATATTGGACACCGAATTCTATGGTTCCAGGAGTTGCAGCAGTTCGGTTTTCAGGTAGGAGGATCTAGAGCAGATCTAGGCTTCCACCCCAAATGTAGTTGATTGGGACTGACGTCGATGGTGCTATGTACAACATTGTTGTACAGACTACCAATGAGAGGTAATTTCTCATCCCACTCATCCTGGTTAGGCTTAATATAGTGCCTCAGCAGATGCTGCACCACACGGTTCATCTGTTCAGCCTGCCCATTGGCTTCGCGGTGATTCCCAGAAGTCATTTGGAGCTGGTTGCCCATCTGTTTAGCGGCCTTTTTCCACATCTCGCTGGTGAACCTAACATCTCTGTCACTAACAATGGTCTCTGGCAGTCCAAAATCACGCACCCAGTTATCCATGAATAACTTGATGACGTGATCAGTCTTGACAGTCTATGGCATGACAATAAGTCTAGCGTACTTAGTGAACCTGTCAACTATGACGAAGATATGCCTCTTGCCACTCTGGCTGGTCACGAGGGTATCCATGAAGTCCATGGAAACACTCTGTCCTGGACCAGCAGGAATGGGTAGAGGCTTTAACGACCCAAGTGGAGCTTAAGTCCACGGTTTTTCCCGCTGACAGACCTGGCAGGTCTGCACGTATTTCTTTACATCGTCAAGCATCTTAGGCCACCAGAATCGCTGTACCAGGTTAGCAGAAGTCGTCTTATAGCGAAAATGTCATGTTGCGTCATGACATTCACCTAAAAATAAACTACGCAAAATCTCTCTAGATGGAACCACTAATCTCTTGAAAGGAGCCTTCTCAAGAAAGAGCAACCCATCCACCATCACAAACTCGTTGGTTGTGGCCTTGTCCTATGCCTCAAGTTTGTGAATGATGTTCATCATGACAGGGTCTTCCTTGTAGGCTTTCACCAAGGATCGAGTTGCATTGTCAGATAAGCCAAACTCGGTAATCAGCGCACCTTGGTAGTCTGCCCTACGTGACAGCGTGTCAGCAACCTTGTTATACTCTCCTTTCACATAGTTAAGCTTGAAGTCATACTGGTCTATGACTTCAATCCAATGTTTGAGTGTATCAGAGAACAGGTTGTGTCTTGATCCACTTGAGAGTCTGATGGTCAGTTCTCAAGTAGAAAAACCTTCCGAACAGATAGTGCCTCCAGTGGACAAGTGCCTTATTGAGGACGTAGAGTTCCCTTTCATAGGTGGACTTCGCCAAATTCTTGGATGGCATCTTTTTGCTCATCTACTCGATCGGCCTTAACTTTTTCCCTTCCTGCTGAGCCAACACTGCGCCAATGCCATATTGGCTTGCGTCAGTGGTCACAACAAATGGCCTTTGAGGATTGGGGACCATGAGAGCCTCATGATGTGTAAGGGCATGCTTCAATCTCTTGAAAGCAGCCTCGCATGCGTCTGTCCATTCCCATGGAGTGTCAAGGCGCGTTAAATCAGTCAAGGGAGGTGCGATCGCACGTCATCAATGCTGCTTTTGCGTAGGCTCGTAGCCACTTCATGATGTATCTGCCCTGCATTGTGTGTGCATGTGTCCAGGCGCAACTACCAAGGCCTGGGCCAAACTGTACGACGCAGCTTAGGGAGGCTCACGCTTCCATTCAACCAACTGGCGCGTTGCCACAGCCTGAGTACCCACATACGGAAAACGTCAAATTTTGGCCTCTAGTGAATACTCAGGCCCGCCTTCACTTAGGGAGGGCACTGGGCTTGCTGAGGGCCTCTGGCCAGAACATGCGCATGTCTGATAAGGGCCCTGCGAGGGCTCATTCCTCGCAAATAGTCCATTAACAAAAAAAAGTTAGAAACAACGGCGGACGTGGCATGTTTTGAGTTCCTAAAGGCACGAAAAACAGGCCTTCGGCGACTGTGTCAGGGCCTGAGTTCGAAAAGGTGTTCGTAACTCAGGCCGGCGGAGGTGTCAGGGCGGAGGTTTCATTAAGGCGGTTGTGTTTT